TTTTTTGGTGTGGTTCTTTCTGGAATAATGTGTTCATACATGTAAAGCCTTTATTATTATCATTTTTATTTATTCCAAAATGGTTGGGTCAAGCAAAGGGTGCCTACAGATATCAAACATTTCTGTCATACTGGCTGCTACAGTCATTGGTTTATGTTTATTGACTCTATTAAATTTAAATATCTGCAATTTTACGCAGTCATCGAAAGAAAATGATTTAAACCCAAAAAGGAAACAGACAAATTAAAGTCAAATCCTTTACAAACAAGTCAGTTATATATTACAGCTTCTTTGAATATGTTTTGTTTGAGCTTTCATTTCAATATTGAAGAAGAAACTAGAGGGATAGAAAGCTGCTGCTCCTCACCATACATCTTCCCCTCATCTGACAGTATGATCTTCCTCCTTCCACAAGGAGGGTAGATGGCCAAAGCTTCCTGAAAGCTCTGCTCAATGTCTGGGCTCCACACCCCTTCAGGATCCCCGTCCAATCCGCGGTCCGCCCCGTCTCCCAGTGCCTCTCCATTGGGACTGGGACCCTCCTCCTGCGCCCCATCAGGGCTGCCACGGCAACTCCACTCCGACGCAATGATGACGGCTCCAGCTACAACACACCTACAACACACGAAACAAGACAAATGTGGAACAGATACACTAAACTGGATCTGACACGTTAGTGTTACAATGTTACAGTGTTACAGTGTTACGCTTTTTGGGGGGTGTGGTGGCTGTAAGAAGGTTTCTCCATTTTGTCTGTCTGCCCTCCTCACAAATGAAGAGGCCAGAGAGCAATAGAGAGACGTTAAACTGGCATCTCTGCACACTTTCACTTTTATACTATTCACACAATTACACTCAGCTTGGATTTAAAATTTAAACCAATAGGCAGAAATACAGGCAACTGAGGAAAAGCCCTTATCCAGGACTAACAAAAATATACAAATACTTGTTACAATACTTACCCTGAACCCTGGTTTTAACATGTTTTCTTCCATGTTGAAGCCAAAACATGATTAGGAAACAGATTTGTTGTTGTCACAGCTACACTGCACTGCAAGCAGCAAGATTTTGAGAAACGGACGCAGCTGTTTTTGTCCTATACAAAAAAAAGCATGTGTACAAACTGTAAACTGTGTGCAGCTAATTCATTTTTGCAGTTAAGGACATTTTAAGCGTCACGTCGGTTCTTATAGAGTGCTTTTTCTTCTGTACCTGAGCACCTGAAGTGCTTTATGCAAGTTGCCTCATTCACCCGTAAGAACACACCTCCAGAAAGTTACACCACGAATTGTTACGAGGCAGGGTGGACCCGTGCTTTCATGTTGTTTACATGAGCCTTGCTTTCCTGTTTTTAGCTAATAGAAACACTCAAAGTGGTATTGTAGGCCAACTTCTTTAAGGTTCAATGTGCTGCATGTTCGGAGATGATGTTCTGCAAACCTTGGCTGTAACAAGTGGTTATTTGAGTTCCTGTTACCTTCTTATCAGCTCAAATCAGTCTGACCATTCTCATCTGGCCTCTGACATCAACAAGGCATTTTCCCTTTATCTGACAATAATCTGCAGTTTCTGAAATCCTGCCTGTCTGTTCACAGTCACTTTAATCATCTTTCATCCCCATTTTAATACTTGCTTTGAACATTTCTACTTGCCTAAATGCATTACTGCCATGCGCTTGCCTGATTAGATAGCTCCGTTACTGAGCAGTTGAACAAGCCTAAGTGTAGTCGCCATGCATGTACATTATTTTGTAATGCCAAACGTGGACAACCTGACTAAGCAGTTAAAAGCACAGAACATCTTTAGACTGTAGTATGCAGCCTGGAGAAGGAACGAGGTTTCCACAACAAGTAAAACATGAAGTTTTGACACTTTTCCCATAACATATTAAAATGTAGTACAGGTTTAAGTGCTTATTTCCTTACTCTTAATCCCTTCATGTGAACAGAAAACCCCCAAAACTTAAGTTAGATCAGCAGTGCATAAAGCATTTTGCTAAAAAAAAAATATGTTTCATTGTTTTTAAACTTGTTATTTTTAACACAAGGAATCTGAGGCACACTGACAGCTCAAGAAAATTAAACCCCACACCTTGTTTTGTTAATCCACATCACTGACATCATGATGGATGGACGAGACTGAGATCAACTTTGTGGCTGTTGAGAATAGCGACAGATTTCTCCGACTACAAGTGTCTACACACCAAGAGCGAGATCAGATTCACTTTGAGCTGTTTACAGCGTCCATGGGTACGGTGTGTATTAATAGTTCTGGCACCCGTGGTCAAAGACCTAACAAGTGACGAGCTCAAATATTAAGGGTTTATAAATGTTTAAAGACACTATCCAGGGTCAAGAAGGACACTAGCAGGATGTGTCACTATTAAGATCACAAGATGTAATACATTATTTAGCTGACTGCGCTTAGTGAAGATGAGACCAGCTATTCCTTTTTCTTAGCTGTAGCCTAAAAGGCAACACAAACTTTAGAAGACTCCGACCTTGGCTGTGTAGGCCACATAAGGAAATTACACATTCTTTTGTTATTGTTGAAGATGCTCCAAGTCTCTTCAAACACAGACACACATATGCGACATGAATGTTGCCTGGTGTGTAATGTTTTCCAGAGTGTGGTTAATATGGTCCCTGCCACAGAGGAACCACAGAGGATCAGTGTGGTCGCTGAGCTTCCCCTGCTGTGGTGGGTTTATTCTGCACACTGTGTGCAGGGCCTTCCCGGTTTCAATCACTACTGGCTGGACTGAGCTGTTGCCATAGAGATCAGAAAGGCCTAGTGGGGCGGTCAGGCAAGCGCAAAGTCTAAAAGAACATTTTGATATTCGAGGGAGGTGGGATGCGATTGTCCTGAAAGCTCTACTGTGGGACGTCTGCAACCGGGAAGGTGTTTCTTTGTCCTGACTGGAACAAACTCATCATGATGTCATATTGCTTTTCATGTTCACAGACAAAAAGATTATAATGACCACAACAAGAGTAGCTTTGCATGAGTCATGATTTGAAAAACAATTGTTATTTATCTTAAAATGAGCCTTAGTGTAGCCCCTCATCATGTCTAAAGCAGGCCCTTCTACCTCCACCTTCTCCTCCTTTAGGTCACCCTCCATTTAAGCCAACTTTCTTCTGATTGGCTTTCCCATCCAAACAGAAGGTGGGAGGGGCTCCCATGCTCTAAGCTAGTTGTGCCCTTGAGATGACCACAGAGATATCCCCTCTCCCTGACAGAAATCAAACAGAAGTGTGTGTGTGTGTGTGTGTGTGAGAAACCAAGCATTTAGAACAGTCTAAAGCCCGAGCTTCTGGTTGATCAGGATTAATAAAACAGAAGGAAGGACGTTTCCTATATTCTTCAGTGGGATTTAGGTTACATACATTTCAGGTCAGCTAACTGTATAGTAAGTAGAGCCTGACCAATATATGATATCAGCACGAGCAGGACAGGAACATGACATCAGCATGATATCAACCTGACATATGGTGTCATCATGGTTTGTCCATGTGAATGACTCTAGTATTGAAAATACTGTCAGCATATGTGGCAAACTAGACAGCTAAGCAAATGGTGTTGCCTAGTAAAGTGTGTATACCACTAAACTGCTAAAACTAAATAAATAAATTAATCTAACTACTTTAATACATAACTTAACTAATAAAAATACATTTCTGGAATGTCAAAAAATATAACTCATCATTTTCATTAGTGGAAGATACTGTAGGCAGATGTGAGGCTACCAGGCAACACACATTTAAATATACATTTTAAAAAATAGATACTCTGTATGTACAAAGTTATAAGCAGCACACAAATGTAATAATCTGAAACAGAAATTTTTCACACAGGAAGTCTAAATGTGTTAACATGAAGTATGACCTTAGTTGGTGTAATGACAAAAATTATGTTTATGACAATCTAACGTTAACTTAGTTTATGCATTTGATTAAGGGGGAGCGTCAATCATCATCTTTCTTTAGCATGGTGGGGAGCTCACAGGGGGTTTAACAAATCTCAAGGGGAAACTTGGCTTAAATAATCAAACCTAGTGCTGATGCAACACATACACCACAATCACAGACTTGCATTACCAGCACTGGGAGCATTGCTGTGCAGTTTGGTTAGGAGTTCTGAAATCTGATGAGCTGTCATGGCCACAGATTTGTCAAGAGCAGTGGTGATGCAAAGTTAGGATACTGGCCACAGAGCACATATGTTGCTGGCTCTGCCTGTTTCAATATAGCACCCGTGGTCAAAAGGTCAGGTGTTTTAGTGCAATGAGGAGGCCAGTACAGCATTGAGCTAAATAAAGCTATGAGATCAGCGAACACTGAAAAGACATGCACATTAGGGGCTGTCTACTGCTCCCAGTGGAGCACCGTCGACACTATGAACAACCAAAACTTCACAGATTTCTATAAACTCTTTGCACACTGACTACTACAGTACCGAGAGCCTTTATGGATATAGGCAGTAAACCGATCGACTCTTTTAAACACTCGGATAACCTTAACATGATCCTAAAGGTCACAACTTACACAATTTTAACAAACCAATCAGATCACACACATATGCTGTAAATTCTCCCATGGCCTTTCCTTTGAAACTCCTACGACTCTTAGTTTCACATGCTGATAAAACTTTCACAGCAGCAAGAAATGAGTCCCATCTGCGAGCATGCAGAGGGAAAATGAAATCACAGTGAGCGCTTGGAAGCGGTTTAGCCGAGTGTGAGTTGGCAAAATATCCCTTTGATCCCCAAAGCGGAAAAACTTCCAACTAACTGTCCATAAAAGTTCCTAAAAACCGCACACAAGCACTTCCAGTGGTAGTCATTGTATGCTATCGACAAGTTATTTTCTGTTTTTCAGTGGATATATAACCAGCAAGTCACCGCTAACACACTCGAACTGACATGCTAGTTGGCTAGCTTGGGAGCTAATAATACTGCAATAAACTGCAAACTAAGTCTGAGAGACGCATTAAAGTAGCCGAATACAGAACGAATGCTTGAGTAAATATTAGAGGAATTCCCTGCTAAACACGTGAGTCCCCGAATCACTACAGGCACAGCGGGAAAATGCGAAATATGTCAGATATCCCAAAACTTCCAGCACACTCGAAGCGAAGCAGCTGCTGCAGCATGAAAAGTTGCTACACACAACAAAGAACTATATGAGAGCACACTCACCTCACAACGGCTCTCCTGCCCCGCTCGTACAGGCACACGCTTTTTTGTTGTGTGCCCCTTTTTTCTGTAGAAAAGTAGCCTCGTGATTCGGGAGTATTTCCAGGGCAAAACAGCTGCGTTTGACAGAAAAAGGCGGAATGCAAAGTATGAGTTTGGTATGAAATCAACGCGCGGAGGAAAACGCACGGAGGCAGAGGCGTGGCGTCGAAACGCACACACGCAAAAGTTTTGTGGGTCCCAAGGCAAACTCCTCCCCGGACATCAGACTCCTGGTGGGATAGCTGGGAGATATGAGGAAGGTGGCGGTCGTAATGCCACTTTTTTGTCTAGGAAAAATCACTACACATCGCGTGCCATCGGGGGGATGGTTAGGTCCCTGGATAATGCACCTCCTCTCTACACGGACCTCACACTTTGGTTACTGCAGGAGAAATACTACTGTTAATATATAAAGCTCCGTTCAGGATTCATTCTGAATATGAGAACACGCATTATTTGCACGTTTGCTTTAACCTTTGACCTAGA